CAAACAAGACCTACACGACCACCGCTGACATTCAGGTGAAGGCAGAAGATTAGAGAGGAGAATAAAGGCCAGAAAAGATGAGACTGGAAAAGAGATGAAGAGAGATTAGAAAACAAGAGCTGTGACAAAACAGGCAGAGACAAGACGAAGACATGAGAAAAGCAACAAGATGAGAAAAGAAGAGACGAGATGAGAAAACAAGAGAAAATAATGAGAGATATGACAAGTGAGAAATGAGATGAGAACATGAGAAGTGAAAACAATGAGGAAAATAACGAGAGTAACCAGAAAATAAAGAAATGAAATGAGAAAAACGTGAGGCCAGAAGACCACAAAATACAAAATGATGAATGAAAATGAGAAAACGATGAGATGAGACGAGAGAAGAAAAACAAGATAAGATGAGATGTGAAAACAGGAACAAACATTGAGAGTTGAGACGAATGAGAAACGAGTTGAGAAAGGTCAGATGAGATAAGAAAACATGAAATGAGACAAGAAAAACAGAAAAGACAAGATGATGACAAACTGGAAAAGAAGAGAGCAGAAAGAAGAAGTGTGACAAAACAAGCAGAGAGGACAAGATGTGAGAAAAGCAACAAGAGATGAGATGTGAAAACAAGAAAAAATTAGACGAGATAATTGAGAAGAGCAGAGACGAGATGAGATGTGAAAATGAGAAAATTGAGTTGAGATGGGTGAGAAATTAGATGATAAAGAAGAGACAAGAAAAGGAGCAAAAAATCAGAGAGGAGTGAGAAGAGTCAAGATGAGATGTAAAAAAAATGAGAAAATTAAAGCTGAGACGAGTGAGAAGCTAGATGAGGAAAAAAAGACCTAAAAAGACAAGCTGTGAAAAAACAAGGGAGATGAGATGAGATGAGATGAGACGAGACGAGACGAGAAGGGACATGAAGTGAGACCAAAAGACCACAAAGATGAAATTATACGAGACTGGGAAAGAAGAGATGAAGAGATGAGACCTTAAAGAAGAAGAAATGAGACCAGAAAGACAAGCTGTCAAAACGAGCAGAGACAAAAGCAAAAGACATTAGAAAAGTGTCAAGGCAAGAAAATAAAAGATGAAGAGACGAGATCAGATGAGTAAAATGAGACGAGTAGGAAAAGAGATTAGACGAAATGTGAAACTGAAAAAAATGAGGGATGAGACAAATGAGAAACAAGATGCGAAAAGAAAAAAAATCTTAAGAAAAAGATGAGACGAGAATAGAAGAGATGAGAAAAAGCAGAGACAAGACCAGATGAGATGTGAAAACCAAAAGACAGAGAGATGAGAGGAACAATAGACATGAGACAAGAAACTTACAGAGAGATTAAGCAGCAAAAAGAAGACAAAAAAGACATTATGAGAAACAAAGATGATAATGTGGTAAGAAATATAAAAGGTAAAGAGAGACGAGAAGAGCTGAGAAGAAATAGATGAAAAAAAATGATAATTGGAGCCAAGGCGGGAAAATATGAGAGAAGACAAAGAAAAAAGTATTTGGACACGCGGTAAGAAAATAAGAGAGCATAAGAGACAAGAAGAGCAGAAGTGAGACGATAAACAATGCGAAGATAACGAGGCGAGATTGGACAACAAGCAGAGGTAAGGAGACGAGCAAAGTAACATAATGAGAGACAAAAGTGAGATACGATATGGCAAAAGTATAGCAGATAATGAGAGACCAGATGGGAAGAGAATGAGAGATGAGACAAGACAAGAGTGACTGAAGGAGCCAAAGTGGAGCAGATGGAGAGAAGTAAAGCAGAAACGGAGAGCGGCAGCTCAGTCTCACTCATCTGCTGCTAGTGGTTTATTGATCGCAGACAGCGAGTCTCGAAGTCATTTATCACCAGCTCCTCAAGCCCCTGTATGTGTGTGTGAGGGAGATAACTCCTGCGATAGCGGCCATAGCATCCATTATTCCTCACAATGGGCTGTGCCTGGACCTGCCCGACAGCTTGACACACACACACACACACACACACTCTGCTCCCCCAGACACAACGACAAACGGCCTCTTTCTGAAAATAATAAATAAATAACAGCACGTATTGTTTCCCAGGCTTGGCCGAACAGCGAGAGCGAAGCTGCTCCACTGCTGATAGCGAAGCAGAAACCTGAAATACGGCCAGAAAGCTGGAAAGTGCTGAGGCCGTGTGTGTGTGTGTGTGTGTGTGTGGGTGTGTGTTTTTACACGCTCAGGTTATAGTACATCATATTGAGCCAAGCTTGCCGAGACAAAGAAGGATTAAAGTTACAAAGGAAACATGTCAAAATGCACTCGATTTGCTTTCTTAATACACGTTCCCGGTCTTAATGTGAATGATTCATTGGTGCACATTCTTCCAAAGAATCTAGTTGTCTTCGTAATCTTTCATCACAATCTAACAACTTGCTCCGCCTCTGAAACGACTTTTACAGGCATAATGTCAGTGCTTGCAGTATCAGCACCTAATATTTTAGTCTTTAGCGTACTGGCACTTTTTCGTGCGTACCGGCATTTCTGACTTGTTCCCGGTACTGAGTCAAAGCATCAGTGTCTGAAAAAATATTACGGTTTTTATTTTTTATCAAATAAATGCAGCCTTAATGAGCATACGAGACTTTGTTCAAAAACTTCTGGCTTAATTTTAGTATGTATTAGCCGCTTTTCATAACCCAAAACAATTAGCAATATATAAAATAAACTAAAGTCCCACCCAACATTTTTTTCCATTTCACTTGGAAATTCACCACAATCAAGAAGTAAACATTTTATGATGCATTGATGTTCTCTTTTTCCGCTATATTTTTAATGAACAATGCCACATCTAGTGGCTTCAACTGGATAGGTTAACAAAAACATTATAATGCAACGAAACTTACATGGTCATCGCATCTCGTGCGCCACTGATAAGGTTGAAAAAACCCACCATAAAGTCTCGAGATATGTTTTTTCAAAGTTGAACTAGCATTAATTTTACATGGCTTTCTAAACATGTGGCTCTTTTGTGAGAGACGCGAGTGCAACGGTGATAGATGTCCCTCTAGAAAATGCGCGAAATATGTGTTCTGTGTGAACGGCTTGGTTTCAGTTTTGACGTAAACAAGATCTTCTCCGCATTGATGTTC